ATTAGGTGTCTAAGATGATAACTATAATTAGTATGTACTTGAATTGATAGTAGCAATGTACTTTTGGGTTGCCTTCAAACTGGCAATTAAATAGGATTATTGTTAGAGGGAGAAGAATGATTTATTAATTTATTACTTGGTTAATAAATTAATTTATTAATATATTATGGATATAATATATTAATTAAAAATCATATTGTTTAATTAATATTTAATCAGAAATTAATTTGGAATTAATTTTGAGATTAAAGGAATTAATTGAAACTGTAGGGACTAAAGGTGATAATGTTCAAAAGTTGAGTATTGAGCTAGAACTTCCCTTAGAGGGATGGAATGAAATATAGAGTGTCCTAGGGTTTCCTTGGGCTCTAAGGGTGCCTTGGAAGCCTTTGGGAGGAAGTTAAGGGATTAGGGTTATCTAAGATACACCTGCCTTATCCTAAACCTTCCTTATCACCTATATAAACCCCTATACGGTTGGATTTCATCTAAGGGCACTCCAAGAGAGGCTAGGGCGGAATTTTCCATTTCCCTTCTCTCTCCATAATAATCCTTGGTTGCTAGGTTTGTTTCTGAGCCATTAGAGGTGCGACACTTGTGGCGCTTGCTACCAAAGTTCAAGATCTTCAAGGATTTGATTGTTACTACAATATAACAATAAAGGTATGTATCCAAACCCTAATTATATGTTAATTTCTAAAATTACATACGCATACTAGGGTTTCTAGTTTTCATGTTCAATGTTTGTATGTCTAATGGTGAAAACATAGATCCTCAAATTAGGATTGCATGCACACATAGGATTATTTGTTTGTAATAAACCCATCAAGATCTTCTTGAATCTAAACACTAACCCTAATCTGCATCACAAAAGGCCCTTAATTTGAAGTTGGATTTAGCAGATAAGAAAATTCCTTGATCAGGGTTGTGTTTCAAATATTTCACCAAATGACAAGCAACTTGATAATGAGGAACTTTTGGAGAAGATATAACTGAGATAATTTCTGAACTGAAAATGAAATGTCTAGCCTTGTTATGTTTAAGTATAATAATCGATCTACTAATCTTTTGTATCGTTTAGGATCATAAAAAATATCACCTTTATCACTTTGCAAATTATTTCTAGGATCCATAGGAGTAGAAACAGGTTTAGCTACTAAGAAACCCAAATCCTCAATTAGTTGGAGTGTACAATTTCTTTGTGTAACAAAAATTCCTTCTTTGGATTTAGCCACTTCTAATCTTAAGAAATAGCCCAGAGAACCTAAATCTTTGAGCTTGAATTTTTTTACTTAGTTGCTGCTTAAGAAACTTTATTTCTATAGTAGATGATCCGGTAATCAAAATATCATCTACATATACTAAAATGGCAACATAAGTGGATCCTAATCCTTTGAAGAACAAAGAATAATCTGACTTTGATTGAGTGAATCTAAGAAATAACAAGAATGAAGAAAATTTCTCAAACCATTGTCTTGAAGCTTGTCTAAGACCATATATGGATTTGTGGAGTTTACATGCCAAATAAATATTGTTAAGATATTTTTCCTTCTGAATTTTGAAGCCTGGTGGTATTTCCATGAAAACTTCCTCTTTGAAATCTCCATTGAGGAAGACATTATTGACATCCAATTGGACTAAATTCCATGATTTGGTAGCAGCAATAGCAAGGAGCATCTTGACCATTACTTCCATATTTCAATTTATAAACCCACCTGCATCCAACTATATGTTTATCAGAAGGCAAGGGCATAATGGTCCAAGTATTGTTTGCTTCCATTGCAGCTAGTTCTTCATCCATGGCTTTGCACCATTGAGGATATTTTGCAGCTTGAGTAAAACTTTGAGGCTCAAAATTTGCTGAAATATTCATGACCAAGGCTTTGTGATTTGGAGAAATCTTTTCATAGCTAAGAACATCTTCTACAAGATAAGGTGTATTGGAAGATAATTTCTGATGTGTTATAGAATTACAATTAAAATCTCCTAAGTATGATGGTGGTTGTCTGTTTCTAGTAGGCTTACTAGTAGCAATACTAGGATTATGAAAAGAATTGGAATTTTGTGAATGAGAAGAATTTCCAGAAGCAAAAGAAGAATTGGAATCATGTGAATGATCAGAATGAGAATGATCATTGTTCTCAACTAGAAAAGGAACATCTTCATTTTTAGAAATGGGAAGTACAAATTGATCAAAAAAAAGAAGATGTCTGAACTTGAGTATTTTTAAATGGACATATTGATTCGTGAAATACAACATCTCCGGAAATAAAAAAAAACTCATTTTTGGAAAGATCATAGAGTTTGTAAGCCTTCATGTTGGGAGGATAACCAACAAAAATAGAAGATTTTGCCATGGGACAAAATTTTGATCTGTTTGCAGCCAAAGTAGAAGCATAAGTTGAAGATCCAAAACTTCTTAATTGAGAATAAGATTAATGTTTTCCAAATAATCTATGATAAGGAGTATTGTTGCTCAAAACTTGAGAAGGCAAACAATTAATGAGATAAGCTGCAGTTAAAATACATTCACTCCATAGATTCAAAGGCAAATTGGATTGAAAAGATAATGCTCTAGCCACATTGAGCAAATGTTGATGTTTTCTTTCCACCACAGAATTTTGTTGAGGTTTAGCAACACATGAACTTTGATGGATAATCCCTTTTTGATGAAAAAAATTCTATAAAATCCACCTCTTTAGCATTGTCAGACCTAAAAACTTTAATTTTCTTATCAAATTGAGTAAGAACCATTTGATAGAATGCTGGAATCATGGTAATAACATCTGACTTGTTTTTCAACATATAAATCCAAGTATATATGCTATGATCATCAATAATTGTAGCAAAATATCTAAATCCTTGAATATATGAAGTAGAAAATAGACCCCAAATATCACAATGCATAAGGGTAAAACAGTCATTTTCCATATTGTTTACAGAAACAAAAGGTAATTGTTTTTGTTTGGCTAAAGGAGAAATGGTACAATGAAAGAGATCTGCATTAGCAACTTTTATAGATAACAACTCTTTTATTGGTGATATACACTTATTAGATGGATGCCCTAATCTAGTGTGCCAAACATCTAAAGAAATACAACAATTCTTAATGTCTTTCTTGTGGCTTTTCTCATCCAACACATAAAGTTCTTGACACAAATCAACTTTGCCAATCATCTTCATTTCCTTTATATCCTGGATCAAAGCATGATGACAAGTAAATTGTATCATCAATCTTTGATTCTTAGTAAGAGAACTCACATAAATCATATTCTGATCAAAAGATGGAACGTATAGAACATCTTTTAAAACAAAAAGATGAGTAATTATTGTCACCAATGAGATTAACAGGGAGAGTAATCTTGTTAGGCAAAGTAACAGTGTAATGAGAAACTCTTTTGTTGGAAAACATAGAAAATTCATGACAAACATGTTGAGTTGCACCTGAATCAATTATCCATTTCTATGATTTTTTCCGTGAATTAATAGAAATGGAATAACATTTACCAGTAGTTGTTTCTTGTTTTGGATTAACAGATATCATATGATTGAGAGAGTTGACATGATTTGTTAGCATTGTTCTTGAGAAAACCCTTTGAACATGTTAGACAAATCATTGTTGATGGATGACATTTAAACATTTGGATCATCATGAGAAGCAACTACAACAACCCTGTTTTTGGATTTATAACCAGGAGGATATCCATTGAGTTGGTAACATTTATCAATCGTGTGACCTTGCAATTTGCAATGAGTACAAAAAGGTCTGTCACAATTGTTATTCTTGAAGTTGTTTTGAGGTTCGCTACAATTCTGAGTTGAAGCTTTAGCAACAAAAGTCATTGAATGTTGTACATCATTGTGAATGGATTTTTTATTTCTCTTCTTAAACAATTAGAGAAAAAGTCCGATTAATAGAAGGCAAAGGATCCATAAGCAAGATCTGACCTCTGGTTGGGAGAATGAATCATTCAATCCCATTAAGAAATTCATTATGTGCTCATTGTGAATATACTACTTGATTTTCTCAACACCACCACAATCACATTTGTTACAGGTACAATTAGGTCTGAAATTGACCAGTTCATCAGTAATTGTTTTGAGTTTAGTGAAGTAAGTAGCAATCGAATTTTGATTCTGACTGAGATTTGATAATTCTTTTTGGATTTGAAAAATTCTTGGTCCATTACTCTGTTGGAAACGATCTTTCAAATCGTTCCAAATTTCAAACGCACATTCAGTAAACATGATACTAGTTGAAATGAAAATCCATAATATTACCAATTTGTTGTTACGTATCCCTGCATGCAAATTAGAAACTTTAGACGAGCTTAGCTTTGGAAGTGTTCCATCAATAAAACCGGTCTTGTTCTTCACAGATGATGCGGTCTGCATTGCTTGGCCCATGAATTTTAATTCTCTCCAGTAAGCAATTGTTAAACAAGAACGAATCCAGGACTATCGGAATGATGAAGATAATACGAATGTGTTCTATCATCTATGGGAGATAGAATAGATCCCGATCCAGAACTAGAACCAAAATTGGTTGACATGATGAAATAGCACAATCAACGAAGAACAGAGAGAAAATCTGATTGAAAATTAAATTGAACAAAAATTCAATCGGAATATGAAATTGTAATCGGAAGCTTTGATGCCATATTACGAGAGAAAGAGATAGAATGAAATGAATTACAGCTCTACCATCTATATACATACTTCTAACTATTATAACTAACTGAAGGGTAAATTACAGAATTAACCCTCAACTATATACATTTCTATATCTAATATGTCTAGAAGAAATTTGTTTAATAATTTTCGGAGCGTCAAATATCAAACTACTAGAAGTAGAAGGCTTCACCTTCCAATTCCTTAACCTTTTCACCTCTCATAAGTATAAAGGCGAATTGTATAGTAGCCCCAATTGCTTGTTGTAGTCCTCTCTTGTGAGTGTGTAAGTGTATGTACCCATGTTTGACTCTTTTATATGAGTGAAGTTACATATAATAGCACCTAAGATAAACAGTCACTTGTTTACAATTCTGGATACTAAAGAAAATTGAATCAAAAGGGAACTTTCTAGTTATAAAGAATTAGACAACGAAGATTTGATTTACCAGTGATCAAAGATTAAACAATTTAAATCAGAAATAAGTCTTCGGAAGAATCCATTAGAAGGACTTGGTAAGCTGAAATAGAAGAAACCCCTAATACAGAAAAGAAAGCAATCATTGATCCACAAAGTAAGAAATAAGTTATAGTAAGATCAAGAAAAGCACCCACGTAGCTATTTAATGTCAAAATATGTGTACCCTCCCTACTTCTTATAAATATTCTCTAGCAAAACCGCTGCTTGATTCTAGAATTGTCTAGTTTGAATTTGAAAAACAAAATCAAGACAATGGTAGAATAAAGAGTTTTAAATGTATAATCCGCCCTTATTCAATACAATTGATTGTCATGGGATTGGAAATTTGAAAGGCATATATATTCAACCTATTCATCCTCTTAATGAAGAAATATAATTGTAAAGGGCATATATATAATCCACCCTTATTCAATACATTTAGATACCCGTTTATAATAAACACTAAAGCAACAAAATTAATACCATACACATACATAACTGAATTAAAGCAAATGAAACCATGTAAGCAACAACTTAAAACAAATTTATACCACATCCATATCCATATATCCCTCAACTTAAGAAAATTAATGACATGACACCATGTAAACATCAGCAACACCTTCGCATTTGATATAATTTTGGGCAGCTTTTATGGACATAGTGCGTGCTTCCATCTTTGGTGTTGATTCAGTTTCAGCCACTAAGGTCATCCAACCCGAGCTCAAATAGTACTGCAGTGCCATCATCCTCATCCACATCCAATTTCGAGAATCGATGTGTAATCATGACTTCCCCTTTTTTTTTCACCAGAAGGTATGGACAACCGGTAACTTTGTTTACCAGTGAAATCCTCTGCATCGAGAAGATCTGCAAAAACGCACTTCAACTTCTCCGATATGCCGGTCAAACATGGTCCCATCGTGCTTGATCTGAATGAAGAGACTGTACTCTCTCTTCACAGGGACAATGTGGAATTTAACGGGATATTCCCATTCTGGATAACAACCAGCCTTTTCTGCGACAGGTGTTGTTATTTTTTGGGACTCCATGCCATAGCCGGCAATCCAAACTACAACGTAGGGACTCATGGTTCCGAAGTGTTTGACATCTTTGAGATCATTTGCGTAATGGATGAAAAGGGTTAAATCGGCGGACTCCATTCACAACTAGCTACTATAAGGCGATAGTAACACGAAAGTATGTTATATAATTATACACCGGGTGTGAGTTGGGTTCGGGGGTTCTTGGAGTAGGGCAACGTGTCACATGAGGATTGGAAGGTCAAATATATCCGCCAAGTTATAGAAGTCAAGACCCATGCAACAACGTCACCGGTAGTACGTAAGTTTCTAAACATACGTTTAACTTACGTCCAGAACCATGATCAATGCTTTGTGGTTGCTATTGTGCGATATAGTCGCCTCCCGTCAATATGGTAGGGCTAGATTGCAAATAACCATGCACCATATATCATATATGCTATGTGCTTTTCAATTCTTTTTCATAGAATGACATTATTTGTGGAATATTTGTGGTTCGAAAAGGAATCGTTTTAAAAAAGGCATCGGTTCTTCCACGGAAGAATTTTATTAATCCACTAAAATTATGAGTGTAATGACAATTATACCCATATTTATATATATGGTGAATTTTAATGGTCTTGGCTGTTTCTTCTCAAGTCAATTATACTAAATTAAAATAATATATCGACAATTTATACTCCTCCAATTGTTTTTTTCGAATATCCTTTTCAGTTTTCACTATCTTTTTTCTTTTAACAATGAATCCCATCACTACTAGAAAACTGAGCAATTTCTGACGGTCATATCCGTAGGTAGCCATTTTCCAACAGAATAACAATAGAATTAGGTTTGTCGTAAAAAGCCCCATGGGTAATGATTTGTGATGGATTACCGACGGAATATTCCATCAGAAATATACCGGCAGATTACCAACAGAAAGTTTTTTGACCGGGTTTGACCGTACTTTCTGACGGATTACCAACAGAAGATATTTTCTAAAGGATTACTAACGGATACTTTTAGTGACAAATTACCGACATACACTATCAGTGATGGATTTCCTACAGACACTATTAGTGATGGATTACTGACAGATGCTCTTTATTTTTCGTGACAGACATTTTCGTCACTAAAATGATTTTTATTTTAAAAAATAATAATAATAATAGATAATTAAAAAAACCCATATCTTTTTTTGCCCAAAATTCCAATAAAAAATTTATAATGATTCAAACCTCCAAAAGAAATTGTTACATTTACCTATCAAGATAATTACAAACTTAGTAAAAGCCCTAAAAAGATAAATGTATTTAAAAATTGAGAACCTTATCCTTCTCAAAGTTCTCTTTAATACTAATTTTTGGGACAAAATGTATTAGTGTTTCTTCATCATCTTACGTTCCATAACAAGAGGATTTAGATGTGTCATCATGAACTACAGATCCATTGGTTGTGCTTCATGTCTATCTTTACCATAAATGCACCCACACCGGCTCACAATCAAACCACAAAAAAGCCTACAAATTTTAACATAATGCAAAAATTGTAAAGAGGAAAGTTCAAATGATAATCTGAAAGAACTCACCCTTAGAAATATAAATAGACAGAAAAATTATCTATACAAAGTACGATGCGGTAAAAGGAAGAAATGAAAGTAAGATGTGATAAACAACAAAAATGAAAGTATGTTGTCATTTTTTGCATTTAACGATCTTGAAATGATGAAAGAAAATTACATGATGCTCATTTTATAGCTTCTCAAAAAAAAAAAAAAAAATCTCTGTAGATTTGACAATAAAATATCATATTAAAAATCATCTAATCTATTTCAGCAATAATGAAAGAGAGAAATGGAAGTATACTATAAAGCTATAATGCACAAAAAAAAAGTAAAAGGACATTGTCGTTTCTTGAATTTAGCCCTCTTTTTCTTGGTAAGATGGTTAATACCAAATTCTAGTCCTATAGGGAGCTATTATGAAAATTCAACAGGCCCATCTGATAGAATAAAAATTATCAATCTAAAGATATTTTAAGAGGCAAAATATACCGAAAGTAAAGTAGTTCATGGTAATTGCAGAAATCATAGAATGATAGCATGACCTCAACTATTGAGCAATAAAGTTGTGAAAATCTAACTTGTAGATGCATAATAGTTACATAAAAGTTTGTTTAAGATTTACCAAATGCAAATAACATCATTGGACTTTGCTTTTCTTTCCAACCACTTAAGCACATTTAATTGCAAGATACCCAACCAGCTGTATGTGAAAACAATGTATATTGTACCTGTACATAGGAGCTCAAACTATTTCATAAGCATAAACTTGCAGCAAAGACATCAACTTCAGTAATCATAGACTATAAACATTACTTGGATTTAAAAGCAAACATTTTCTAGAATTTATGCAACCTACAATCGACATGGTGGTGTCTTGATACTAGATTCACTTGAAGCATTTTATGCAATCTACAACTTGAACAACTTTAAGAAAATCAAATTACCCTCTTTTCACATCTAAGATTCGAATTTGGTCCCAGCGACTCGAAATCAACATCTACAGGTCTGATGCGACGATGTTAGCATCTTTGACCATTTCAACCTATAACAAAAGAAATAAATATAAACAATAAACCCACAATAAATGTAAACCAAAGCAAAAAATCGATTAGAAGCAAACTGTGACAGAATGTCCAATTAAACCCTACGAATATCAGGCAATCCAACGCAATAGTGATGTAGAGGCATCAAGCTCGACATCTGGTGATGAAAAAATTGAAAATCAAAGGAAAAAAACAGAAAAAGAAAGATAAACCTTAGAAAGGAGAGTGATAGAACACCGAATCGCCAGAGGCCGGAGGGAACACCTAATGCAGGGGTGAAGGTTTCCAACGATGAGAATCGTGATGACATTTTTTCTTTGATCGGTGAGGGTTCAAGCGAGGTGGACCGGTGGTGGATATTGAATAGGTGATGGCGATGCAGATGAGAAATCCTGAGAAGGTGGATGACTGACGTTAAATATGTCGAAGAGGACCAGAGGTATGGGGTGTTTTGGTCGGAGGAGCGGAGGTCGACATGAGATATGCTCCAAGTAATTAAGCGGGAAGAAACAAAACTATCAAAAATTTTAGATTTTCTTGTCAAATCGTCAATTAGGACTTTACTGTGAAAAAAAAAATTTAGGATTTTCTTATCAAATCGTTGAAAATATTGAGACTTTAGTGTATGTAACTTTTTTTGTTAGAAATTTAATGGTATGATATTCTTTAAGCATAAGAGTTATTGAAACATTCTCTAGTCAGCTAACTCCTATTGAAATCCTTAACGTTTGCTTCGTGTTAAATCGTTTTTTTTTAATTTCAACAAACCGACACTGAAAAAAAGGAGATAATCAAGAGAAAAAGAAAGAAATAACCAGGGTTGTGCTGGCTTTTTGCAGTCCCAAAAAATGGAGAAATAAGAAAACCGGAAAAAAAAAAAAAATACGAAATTGCCCTTCTTTCCCTTCTCCACATTCACACATTTTTTACTAAGCATGTGTTGTTTGTGTTTGTATACTTTGTCCCCATTTTTTAGTTCAAAATTTGGCGGCGAAGCAAGAGGAAAGTTTTACAAGTCTTTTCACCATTTCTCGCACTCTCTTTTGCATATGTTTTTCCTGATCGTGATTGTGTCAGGGTAAAGATGATGGTGGGTGCTGCAACAAAAGTCACAATTAAGTTCTTAGGTTACGAAAATACACTAAAATCCCAATGTTTTCAACAATTTGACAAGAATGTCCTAAACTTTATTTTTTTAGCATTAAAATCCTAATTGACAATTTGACAAGAAAGTACTAAACTTTATTTTTTTGACAAAAAAATCCTAATTACTGGCCAAACGGGAAAAAGGGTAAAAGTGTTAAAATCTGCCGGTAATTTGGATTTTACTATCAAAAAAATAAAGTTTAGAATTTTCTTGTCAAATCGATGAAAATATTTGGATTTTAGCGTGTGTGTGTGTGTGTATATATATATATATATATATATATATATATATATATATATATATATATATATACACAGGGGATGGTTCCCATGAGATTAATAAAAAATTAGAAAGCGGCCACCTTCCTTCTCTAAAAACCATCTTATCGCTAAATCATCAATTTTCAGTATCAATCACGTAACCGTACCATTCAATCTTCAAAATCATTCAATATCATCACAAAGTTCTTATTTTTACTGAATCTATTATATTAATCGTAATCTTCAAATTAAAAAAACGATCGATTCTATTATATTAATCGTAATCTTCAAATTAAAAAAACGATTGAAACAAAGCATCGGTTCATATCTTCATAAATACAAGACATAATCCTCAAATCGAAGAAACAAGCACATTGCATTCATCAACACAATTCAAGAGAGCATTTGAAAATTGAATCAAAATCAATTTTCAGAAATGATGTCGAATTCAAAAGAAATTGTTGAGTCGATCACAACTGTTACTATTGTTGTTGAAATAAATTCATCTTGTAACGATAAACAAATCGATTCAATTTCTCTGACTTCTGAAGAACTTCAAAATACGATTCGTATTGAAGGTACAAATAATTTGATTTAATACTACATATTACATTACAATTTCTACACTTCATTCTTATTTTTTTATTATACAGTATAAATTACGATTAATTATATGTTACGGTGTATAATCATATACGATTATACATACTAACATTTGATTAATCGTACATAACAATTTAAAAAAAACATATGATTTATCATATGTGTTCATAGATCTAAATATATTATTAATTATATATATTAAATAATAGGGTAAATTACACCATTAGTCCCTCGTGCATGTACCCAAAAGCACGTTTGGTTCCTATTTTCAAAAATTAACTCGGACGGTCCTTAGGTTTGTTTTTTCTTGCACGCTTAGTCCCTCCAGACGTAAAAAGACTATCATACCCTTAACAATTTCTTTTTTAATTTTCTTTTATTTCGTTATTATTTTTACATAAAAAGAAAAAAACGTATCTTCCCCCCCCCCCCTTTTTTTTGTCTTTCCCTGTACTTGTTTTCCCCTTTTCCTCTCTAACTATCGACGGACTACAACCATGAAGCCGCCGACAACCATAAAGCAG